TCGACCAACGTGTCAGCTTTTGCAGGTGAAACCGCTGTCACACTCGTCCTCATCGCGATATTACCGTGTTGTTGTTGGATCCCCTGCCAATCTTGATCCAGTTTTTTTAACCGTCTCAGGGCACTGCAGATGTTTGTCGTCTTCGACTTGATCTCCTTGTGTACATTTTGCTTGGTTTGGAGAAAGTCCTGCAGTCCGTTGACTAGCTTCTCCAGATGTGCCAGCGCATTTGTCCTCTTCATCTTTGCACTAAGTAGTAGTGCGTCTTGCTGGGGATGAGGCCCGTTTTCTCTCTTGTTTGTTTCCTGATCAGTGATAGGAGCAAAAGGTCCTCCACTTTTTGAAGGACCGTTGTTCAGCTGTCCGTTCTCCTCCATCTGGGCTGTTTGCGTACTCCCTGTAGCATTTCCAGATAGCAGGGCCATGGGGTCCACCCTGCTGTCGTAACGGTCGCTTGATAACGATGAGTTCAGGCCCGTTTGCACGCCTTCCCTTGCCGGCACTGAGGTATCCATCCTCTGTACTGTAGACAATGTATTAATGTTCTGTGACATTTCCATATTGTTGTTGGTGTTCTTGGTGGTCGTCTTGTTAGGTCAGTTAGTGTGACCAACCCATTAAAGGGGAGTTTTGTCCACGGGAGCGTATTTTGTTTGGTTATTTTGCTTGGCTCCTACCCGCTGTACCTCATCCACTAAGAGATTATCCAAGTGTCATCTAAGGACAGCGAGTGTCAACCCATCCGCTACGGGGAGACGCGCCTGGTAGCAGTTTCTCCTCTGCCCCGAGTATGTGTGTGTGTGTGTGTGTGTGTGTGTGTGTGTGTAAACCTCGTGTAACTTTTGAACGACTTGACCGATTTCATCGCGGTTGGTGTCATTCGAAAGGGCTTCGCCAAACTTAGATTTCCTGAGAGTTGGAACCAATTCGGACCGGTAGATTTAGAGAAAATGCAAAAAAAGTGAAAAAAAAGTTGTTTTTTTTATTTTTTTTAAATATCTCCGAATTGGCTGAACCGATCGGTCTCAAAAACTAATCAGCTCTTAACCTTGAAAACCCCCATCGATCGCACCAAAAACGTCAGAATTGGTTGATGCGTTCGTGAGATATCGTTGTCGAAATAAATCGAAAAAAGTGTTTTTTTGTAATAACTTCAAAATTCATGGCTCGATCGATTTAAACTTGAAAATTTTTCATGGAGCTTCAAAAACTGCGTCGATTGCCGCCAACCGCGTGGAAATCGGTTGATTCATTCAAAAGTTATTGAACAGGTATTGCCGTTTGAAAATTCAAAAAATTGTGTCTTTAAACTGCTATTAGAGTTTTGAGCTCGAAGAGCTCAAATTGACACAAAATCAATATTTTTGAGCTCGAAGAGTTAAAAAACGTAATATGTAGTTTGAAGCGTTTAAGTACAAAATGAGCGGGAAGTTGCAGGGATGGCCTTTAGGGTCAACCGTCATCCTAATTTTTTTATTAGAAAAATTGTTATTTTGTTACTAAAAAAAATTTATTACGAAAGAGAAAACATTTCTATTTGAAGCATTGAAAACTAAAATGGAATAAATTTTGGTTTTTTTGCTATAAATTCGTAAACCACCGAAATGTCAGTCCCCTGGGCTGTCCCAGTTCCGAAAATTAAAACTTTAAGATTAAATTTTAAGTTATTTGTCAATAATATATAATTTTGTCCATAATGTTTATAAACTTAATTAGTTAACTAACAATCTTCTTCAATAAAAAGTACCGAAAGTTAATTTGTTTCATTAAATTCATTAAGCCTATAGGCTTAACAAACTTATAAGTTTGTCCCAGGCATTTTAAGATCAGTTCCCTGCCAAAAGTTCAAAGCCAAAAAAAAAATTAGGAAAACGGTTCACCCTAAAGGCCATCCCAGTGATGCCAACTTAGTGGATTTTCCACTAAATTTAGGGATATTTTGCAAGTTTTGGGAATTTTTTGGGGGACACATGTTTTGAGGGAATTTTTTAGGGATTTTTAATTTATCAAACAATTATTATTTTATACTGAATAAAATGTCAAAAAATTCAGTTTCGTGAACAATAGGATCGTCAACAGTATTTAACGTTTATCGCTATTCGATCTAAATGAATACATGTACGTAACCAATAACAAAGGAAAGTATAAATAGAGGTCAGCACTAGTGGTACCCGTTATATGTGGATATCGGCCTGGTTATATCCATATGTAGTGGATTTTCACTTTACTTGAGAATAAATGCTGAACCTGAATTTACTTGTTAAATATTCAATTTGAATTTTCTATGTTATTAAATATATACGAAAGTAATAGCATATATGAGAATCAAAAAACATGAGTTCTATATATAAACATCCGAAAGATAAAAAATATTTTCAGAAATATTCAAAACAATGGGAATATGATGAAAATTTAAAAGGTTTGTTGTTGTTTATTTTTACGATTTTTTTATATCTTTTAATTAGTAGGTACATGAATTATAATATTTATGAATTTAAGTTTATATGTAAGTATTTATCTACTTTTGATCTAATTAGTTATGTGTTTTAAATATTAGAAGTGAAAATTTTTTATTGATTATATTTATTTTGAAAAATTTTATGTTTAGATTGGATATCTCCTGATTCTACCGGTGACGTCACTAAAGCTTTTTGTAAATATTGCCGCTGCACTCTTAATGCTCATAAGAACGATTTATTAAAGCATGCTGTGTCGAATAAGCATAAGAAATCTGTGGAAATGGATAAACAAGCGAAACTTTGTCGTCCGTTGGAAGTTATCAAACCTCATACTTCAAAATCTAAGGTTGCTGAGCTTCAAATCGCCGTATTTATTGCTGAGCATACATCAATTAATACCGTTGATCACCTGACAGATCTGCTAAAAAAAATTGATCCGAAATCTGATGTTTTTAATATATAAAATTGCATCGCACTAAATGTGCAATGCTAATAAAAAATGCTTTAGGCCCGCATGCATGCTGGAAGACTTAGTAAATGAGATTAAAGAATCTCCATACTCACTTATTGTAGACGAAAGCACAGATGCTTCAACGGAAAAAGTTCTCTGTATAATGATACGATATTTTTCCTTTAAAAAAAAAAAATTTTTTACCACATTCTATCGTCTTGTGAAAATAAGTGATGCTACAGCTAACGGCATTTATAGTGCTTTGAAACAGCAACTGGAAGCTGATGGGCTTCCATTGAAAAATTTAGTTGGTATTGAGGTCGATAGTGCAAATGTAAACGTAGGAGCTAACCACTCTGTTTCAACGCTGTTAAGAGAAGATTTGCCAGATATTATTGTCATCAAATGTATCTGCCACTCTCTACACTTATGCGCTAAGAAGGCAGCGGAACTACTACCCCGCCAACTAGAGTACCTTATTAGAGAAACTCACAATTGGTTTTCGCACAGTCCGAAACGCAAAGATGAGTATAAAGAAATTTATAATATAATTAATAATGGAACAGGTAATCCTAAAAAAATTGCTGGTCTTAGTGGCACTCGATGGCTCGCTAGATATTCTGCAATTGACACCATTTTGTCGCAATGGGATGAGCTGAAATTATTATTTGAACTATCTAAGAGTAAAGAAAAATGTTTGACAGCGCAACATTTGTATAAGATAATATCATGTCCAGCGTTCAAATTATTCCTGGTGTTTCTATACTCCAATTTAAAGTTACTTACAAATTTGAATAAACTGTTTCAAAGCAACGATATTGAGATGTTCAAGTTATTAGACGATCTTTTCTTTTTGTATAAAAGTATTTTACAGCAGATTGTTGTTCCATCACAATTAGAAAAAATTAAGGATGATGATTTAGTAACTTGTAATTTCAAGATTATTTGATGCACACGTCGTCAATTTCATTTGGATATAATTTTGATCAAATGGCCAAAAATATCTCTCCAGATGAGTTACCAGATATTCGAACGTGGTGCAAACAGTTTTTAATTAAATTGTGCACTGAAATTCAGGAACGACTCCCCGAAAATATTGCAATATTAAAATCAATTACTATTTTAACACCTTCCAATGCGACATCCCAAAGGAAACCTGATATATCTAAATTACTGGGGCAGTTTAATAAAGAACATTTGTACGGGTCCAAAGATTATATTCTTCAAGAATGGAACATGGTATCCAATAAAGTGTGGACAAATACGCATGATACAGCTTTATTTTGGTCAGAAGTATTTGATGATTGTGATTCAGGTAACAATAAGAGATTTGAGAATGTTGCTAAATTCGCTTTAGCGTTGCTAACAATACCTACTTCAAATGCGACTGTTGAAAGAGCATTTTCTATATATGCTGTAATAAAAAATAAATTAGCATTAGAAACAATGCAAAGTATCATGATGGTTAAATTTTCATTGCTGAGAGACTACGATAAGAGTACTTTGTTTGAGCCTACTAAAGAGATGCTTAACAGATTTACAGTTAACATGTATGATTTTAAGAAGAAAGATAACGTCGAAAATGATCTAAATTTTGATGAACTACTTGACTTGACAAATTCAATATAGGCCGATTTTATATGTGATGTAATGACATGCAATGAGTATAAGTTTTAAAAACTTGTTAATTTATTATTGAAATTATATAACTAATATATATGATATATGAAAACTAATATATAAAAACTAATGTATATTCAAAATTAATATATACATGACTGACTAAAAATATTTTTATAAAAAATGAAATAAAAATTTTCCAATATTAAAATACACTTTTATTAAATAAAACAAAAATAAAATTAATAATATTGATAATACTAAATGTTGCAATTTTCGTTAAAAAAATAAAGAATGAAACTAACTTTTGAACAATTTCGAGTTTTAATTTTAGGGAATTATGTCTCGATTTTAGGGAATTTTGTTGAAAGATTTGGGGTAAAGTTTTTTTCAAAGTTGGTGACACTGGTTTTGTCCACGGGAGCTTATTTTGTTTGGTTATTTTGCTTGGCTCCTACCCGCTGTACCTCATCAACTAAGAGATTATCCAAGTGTCATCCAAGGACAGCGAGCGTTCTCCCATCCGCTCGGGGAGACGCGCCTGGTAGCAGTATCTCTTCTGCCCCGGGTGTGTGTGTGTGTGTGTGTGTGTGTGTGTGTGTGTGTGTGTGTGTGTGTGTGTATGTGTGTATGTGTGTATGTAAACCTCTTATAACTTTTGAACGGCTTGGCCGATCGGATCGAAATCGGTGGCGATCCAAAGATTATTATAGCCATTAAATTTCGTGAAAATTTGAATCGATTCGGTTGGCTAGATTTTTAGAAATCTCAAAAACAAAATTTTCGAAAAATCGTTTTTTGGAAAAACTTTTAAACGGCTTTACCGATCGATTCCAAAAACTAATCAGCTCTTAACCTTAAAAAACTACGTTGATCACCATTGGACCGGTCAAAATCGGCTGATTCGTTCGTGAGATATCGAAAACGAAAAATTTCAAAAAACATATTTTTTCAAAAAATCTCTTAAATGGCTTCACCAATCACTACCAAAAACTAATCAGCTTTTAATCTTGAAAAACCACGTCAATCACCGTTGAATCGGTAAAAACCGGTTGATTCGTTCGAGAGATATCGAAAACGAAAAATTAAAAAAAAAATGTTTTTTCAAAAAATCTCTTAAATAGCTTCACCGATTACTTCCAAAAACTAATCAGCTCTTACACTTGAAAAGATACGTCGATCGCTATTGGACTGGTTAAACCACGTCAATTGTCACCAATTGTCAAGTCCCATCAAAATCGGTTGATTCGTTCGAGAGTTATCAAAAACGTAAAATTTCGAAAAAAAGTGTTTTTTTCACATAACGTCGAGATTTCTTTTTGGATCATTTTTGACGAAATAGAATAATTATAAGATCCCAAAAAATCACGTTGATCGTTACCAAAAACGTGAAAATTGGTTGATTGGTTCGTGAGTTATCGTTGTCGAAAAAATTCGGAAAAAGTGAATTTCTCTAAGATTTTCGGTTCGATCAGTTTGTGTTCATAAGTATATCATAGATTCTGAAAAAGTGCGTGGAATACTGCCAACTACATGGAAATTAATTCATTCATTTAGAAATTATTGCAGTTTGAAAATTCAAAAAATACTGATTTATTAAACTTCTATCAGTCTTTTGAGCTCGAAGAGCTCAACAGCATACAAAAGCTATTACTTTGAGCTTGGAGAGCTCAAAATAACACACAAATTGTACTTTTGAGCTCGAAGAGCTCAGAAACGTCATAAGTGCAATTTTAAGCGTTTAGGTATGGAATTGGCGGGAAGTTGCAAGGATGGCCTTTAGGGTCAACCGTTTTCCAGATTTTTTTTTAAAGATTTCAGTTTAATATTCAAACATACTTCTTTTTTTTAATTCAAACTTGCGTCTCCGTGCAGATGTAAGGATTAACCCACGCTGCGTATCTCTAAGGCCTGTGATAAATACAAATTATGTTAGCAATACTGACAAATTCAACTACTTATTAATAGAAATGAAAGATTTATTTTTTAGTAGCTTCTAAAAAAACATGCTAAAAATACATGCGTCTTTTTATTATTGTCTTAACGCAACTCATCTAAATTATTGGCAATGTTGTTTTCATTTACACATAAAAAAAACCTTGATAAATTAACGCCGCGTGAATGTAAGGGTCTTATACTCACGCTGCGCGAATGTTAGGGCCCTTCTATTCACGCGGCGTATATGTTAAAGGCTTTTACACTTACGCGGCGTTCATTTATCTGGGTTTTTTTACATGTGAATAGTCACATCTTATCCATCATTATAAAAAAATATAAGTCTTGGAATTTACTTGCAGTAATTACAAAACCATTTTACATTAATTTTCTTGTTTCGCTGTTTATAATTGACACATTTAAAATGGTACCAAAGCAGGCAGCACTCACACTGTACGCATTCGGAAACTAATTTTTTTCGACACATTTTGCACATGTATTGTTGCTCAGAACGCCGCTTTGATACCATTTTTGCAGTATTACGTAAGCATCTTCTTCACAACAATCTTTTATTACTCTAAGATCCACCTAGTCGTCAAGTAAACTATCCGGCATGACTGTCGTCAGGTCCTTGCTGTCAATAGCATTTGCCCGCTACCGATCAGCTCCACAAAATCTCTATTTTTTAGGATCCAGCCCAAAATGTGACGTTGCTGATCTTCTTTGTCTTGTTCAACAAATGCTACCGGAGTTCTCGGCACGACAGAACCACTCTGTTTTTTCGGATGACCATGAACGTTTGCCCGTTCGGGCATGACTATTAGGTAGCACTCACCGCCAGTGACTGCTTTACACCAGATTTTGCGGATGTTTCCGAGAGCGGCAAATTCTTATCACTCTTTTGCATTTTTACTTGATTCCTCGGCAGACTCCGTAGCTGTTCCAGTCCCTGCCGGAGGCAAATCCTCACCACTCTTTTGCGTTTCACTTGAATCCTCGATAGACTCCGTAGCTGTTTTTGTCGACTGCAGACCTTCAGGCACTATATCCAATTGTTTAAATATTTCTAACTGTGAATCATCAAGTTCGAAAATAATTTCATCTATTTCTTCTAAATATGGTTCTTCAACTACCACAATGACATCTTTCGGTGACCTTAGTTGTTTATTCATTATCGACATTAGAATCTTTTTCAGTAGCTTCAGGGTTTTCATTTTGTTCATCAATACTTTTTGGCTCCTCATCTTCATTTTCGTTGCTGTCATTGGAATTTTCAGTGAGTTCATTCTTATTCTCCTGATTATTTAATTGATCATGTGACTGCTTAGTACGTTTCCGATTCGAGCTTTCTTTTGTTTCCGGCTGTAGAGGATGATTGTGTTGGTCAATAACTTCTGTAACAACCAACGAGTTACCATCTCTAGAGGCTAATAAATGTAGCTTTACTGGGCAATTTGTTCTTTCTGATCTAAAATTACAAAAATTTTTTAAACTACCGTTCAATTTTTAAATTTTATATATACGAGTCACAAGTAACTCGAATTTCCAATTTGTCAATTTTTCTTTGACGAATGCATCCATATTCGATAAATTGTATTAAAATGAATTTAATTGTATTAAAATTAACACTTTTTTTCATTACACGTATAATGTTTAAACTCCCAAAAAGCCAGCGTCACTCTTTGTTTCTAAGTTGTGCATAAATTAGCGCTTGTGGCGCTCGCGAATTATAATCTCACTAATGGGCATTGCAAGCACAGGATGGAAGGGGAACAGGCATCGTACTGCGTTTCACGGCGAGGCCCTTACTAGAGGCACGTATGGTAAAGACAAAGGAATCTTATTTTGTAAAACAAATACATGCAGAAGAAACTTCTGAGAATTGACTAAATGAGAGTAAAAATATTATTTCAATTTTTTTTTTTTCCATAAAATTTTTCCAAATAATGTTTTTTTTTCGGGGGGTACAACAGAAAAAATTACTTCAATAAGAAATAAATGAATAATAAATTTTGACTTTTTTATTGTAGGACTATTTTTTACGCTCTTATAAATAATTTATCTAATTACTGAAATGAAAAGGTAATTTGCAGCATGAACATATTTATTTTATAGATTTTACACAATTTATCTGTGAATAATTTTACTTAAAATATTATGTAAAATTTATAGAAAAAATATGTACTTGTTACATAACCTTCATTGCAAAAAATACATATTTTATCTGTAAATTTTACAGACTTTTTTCTGCAAATTTTACAGAACTATTTTTTCCGTGTATATAGTTGCAAATGACCAAATTCATGACGGTTTTAATGTGACCGTAAATTTTGCATCAATTGTCTACACATGCTTTATTAAAAAATTCTGTCAAAAACGTCTATATGGATGCAAATGACGAAATTTGTGACTGTTTGAAACGTGACGGTCATTCCAGCATTACAGAAATTTTTTACAATTATGAGACGGTCATATGACGGCCTTATGGCCGTGTCCTGACCAAAAATAAAATGACGGTCATTCCGCATCTCTACTACTGCCGCAACTTGTCACCAAGTTGACGGCAAGTCTTGGAAATGAGCTCGGTTGGTGTCAACTTGTTCACCAAGTTGTCGACAAAAGTTACTTCTGAAACTTTTTCACACCAAGTTGACGACAAGTTTCTCAAGAAATTTGGTGACATATTGCGGTCGTAGATTGGTCTCATTTTTCTCAGAAACTTGTAGCCAACTTGACGCCAACAGTTACAAATTCGAAAGTTGACCGCAAGTTGTCGTTAAGTTGATGGCAACTATCTGACACCAAGTTGGTTGGTCTGAAACTGTGGCTATCAGGGCGACTACTTCGTGAACTGTCTATGCATGAAAATGTACTTGCGGATCAAATTGGCTTACTGTACAGAAGTCTACACGGATAGTGACTTTTCGATTTTTATAACCTTTCAGAAGATGTCACTTATGTAGAATAAAAGGTACCCGTACCATAAAAGGGTACAAGATTGGGGCAAAAATTTTAAAACTTGACATGTGAATAATGTACACGGCCTTACATTTTTTTTAGCCTCCTAAATTGTTCTTGCTTTGAATTCAACCGATTACTACTAATCAAAAAGTATATTTTATTCATTTTTTAACATTTTATGAATTATTTCATTGCTTGGTTTGATATTTTCGCTCGTTTTATACATTTCAACAAATTCAACAATAGAGCGCGCTAGTTATGGCAAAAGTTCTGCATCCGTGTTTGCCGCACGGTCTCTATTGCGTAGAATACTAATACATTCTTTTGAATTGCGCGCGCATATGACTCAAAAACGTGCGTCAATAATTAAATAAAATAAAACAGAAAATACTCTGAGAGAAATCCCGAGTCGAAATTTCGATCGGATTTTGAACGTTTTGATCCGAAATTGATCGTACTTTGAGCGTCATGATCCGACTAGTTCGTATATTGAACCTCCTGATCCGAAATTGATCGTACTTTGAGCGTCATGATCCGACTAGTTCGTATATTGAACCTCCTGATCCGAAATTGATCGTACTTTGAGCGTCATGATCCGACTAGTTCGTATATTGAACCTCCTGATCCGAAATTGATCGTACTTTGAGCGTCATGATCCGACTAGTTCGTATATTGAACCTCCTGATCCGAAATTGATCGTACTTTGAGCGTCATGATCCGACTAGTTCGTATATTGAACCTCCTGATCCGAAATTGATCGTACTTTGAGCGTCATGATCCGACTAGTTCGTATATTGAACCTCCTGATCCGAAATTGATCGTACTTTGAGCGTCATGATCCGACTAGTTCGTATATTGAACCTCCTGATCCGAAATTGATCGTACTTTGAGCGTCATGATCCGACTAGTTCGTATATTGAACCTCCTGATCCGAAATTGATCGTACTTTGATCTCCATGGTCCGACTAGTTCCGATTTTGAACGTCTTGGACGTACTGTCTACCGAGAAATCGGATTTTGAACTCCTCGGTCCGATCGTTCACCGAGAGATCCGATTTAAAATCTTCAATTCCGATAAAAGTTATAAATAAAACTTTATTTATTATAAACAATTATTGAATAAATTAAACTAATTATAAAAATAATTTCTGTCCATATTGACCTTAACTTCCATAGATTCATTCTATTTATCTAAACATTTATTGTGTTTTTGTAATTCCTCAAGTGCAATATAATTTGTTAACAAACATACAGGTGAAGCTAATAAAAAGCGTGTAATTACATTTTTCGAGAAATAGTTAAATGAAGAAATAATTAATTTTTTCCTAAGTTTTTAGTAATTAATGGTTCATTTTTTTTTTTTCAAAATCCTATCAATATATAAAATAATTTTTGTCCATATTAACCTGTAACTCGCGTGAATGTATTCTATTTATCTATACACTTATTATATTTAACCAAAACAATTGCATATCGTTAAAATTGATTTGGTCTTAAAACAATTAAAATATAATAATTTACAGTTGAGTCAAAACAAAAAAAAAAATCGATTATCGTACTGAGAAGTCATTAATATTTCAATTTGTTTATTTAAAAGTTAATAAAAAATATGATAATAAACAAATTAAATTTGCAAAAGAATTTTATGTGAAAATATAGATATTTTACTATAATTTCCTGAAAATTTCATTAAGTTATCGTCAATAGCTTTTTCACAATTAATTTTTTAATTAAAAGTACCGAAAATTTTTATTGTTAAAAAAATTGTTGTTAAATTCAAAATTTTCAAAAACTGTTTTGAGGGATGATTTTTAGGTATGACTACTTTCGATAATCATATTTTGATAAGTTTCCTATCACCAAGTGGTAAAAAGGGGGTCCACTTGACGTGTTTTGACTCAGTTGAATTTTTAATATTTTAATTGTAAAAATTATAAGATTTTAAAATAAGATATTAAAAATATACAGAATGATGTACAAAGTCTAAAGTATACTATAAGAATTTAACTTTTTTTAACTAATAAACATTTGTAAAAAATAGTTTATTTTCATCAAAACACAATATTAAATAAGATAAATTAGATCTAGATTTAGTTTATATAAATGATGAGGTGTGCATCAACTTATCGGTCGTACGGCATAGGGGTTAGTTGTCGGTCTGGCAAGCGCGCGGCTCGGGTTCGAATCTCGGTTAGAACGGAATGCGATTTTCACTTTATTTCTACAATTAGCGATAGTTAGTTCTAAGTTAAGAATTAAATGGTCTAAAGTTGCGTTAGCTCTACATCAAAATTGAACTAAAAAAATGGAGTTTAAAAATTATTTTTTTTCATAAATTTTGAATCAAATAGTATTGAAAATTAACTATGGCCCAGTCCTGATGTTATCATTATTATTAATATTATCATTATAAAATACGATCAAGGCGTTCAAAATCGGACCGAATTTTTATTTCTGTCTGATCGTACTTTGGACTCCAGAGTGGTAAAAACGGAAATTTGTACCACTGTGGAGATCAAAATACGATCAAATTTAACATGGGAATTGATCGTACTTTGAACTCCCTGATCCGAAGTTGATCGGACCTTTGGAGATCAAAATACGATCAAAATTTCGACTCGGGATAACTCCATTATTTTTTTTCTTTCAATAACCAATTATACAATTCATTTTTTTCTTAAAAAATAAATAGTCATTATGAGATGTGCATTTTTGAATTTTCCAAATAATTTCTTTAAAATACCTCATAATGGAAATATATTTATTCGCTAGTATAAACTTTTAATGTTCAAATAATTAATGGACTTTTTTCTGATTAAAAATATAAAATAAAATAGAATAATATAAAAAAACATTTGTGAAAATTGTTAATAAAATAATTACATAGGGTAGAAGGATAGAAGACATTTTCTTCTTGTGTTATTACCGAAAATATTGAAATATAATAAAACTACTGTACACTCTTATCTTGACCACGTTTTCACGATTACGATCAGTGATGATAACAAGAAAATACATTAATATAATTCCACTGAATTATAGGTAAGTAATAAACATACACTTTAAGATTATATTTTATAAATATGAAGCAATGAATAAATAAGAACAATTTATAATTTGATAATATTTATTAGAAATTCATAAAAAAAATTATCAATACAATATTTAGTAAAAAAAATATTATTTACAAATACTAAGGAATTAGTTTAAATTTCTACTTAACTATTGTAGAATTTTTTTTCTTCATAGAAATATAACTTAATGTAATAAATAACAATAATATTAATAAAATATAGAACAATTTTATCATATTAATACTTTTTCAAAAATCATTTACGTTTAAGTGTAAATTGCAAATTTGAATCTTCTCAATTATTTATTTCTCTAATAATAATAAAAATAATAATAACAACAATATTATTATCATTTATCTAATGCCTAATAAAGTAATCGGAAGAGACAATCTTTATAAACATAATATCACGGTATAAATTATTATATAATTTAATATATAATATAATACATTCATCATATTGATAATAAGTTGAGTTAATAAAAAAAAATAAAAAATCTTAAAACAAAGAATTTCACGTTGATCAAGTTAATTGTTGAAGCAGGTTAACTTCAACTCAAAATATGTTAATGTTGTTAGTGAAAGTAAAATTTACTAGATTCAAGATGATCCCACTTTTTATAAGTTTTCAGTAATCTGAAAAATAGGTAAAAATCAAACGTTTTTGGAAGGAAAAAAAATTTTTTAGAACATTCCACGCTATTCATTTAATAAAAAATATTTACAGGCAATAAGCAGAATATTTTTTTAAAAACAAGTTTTAAAAAAATTTTAAGCCATTAATCTAATTATAATATTTACAAGCAGATTGACGCTTTTTACAAGTTTTGCGTCAAATTTCATCTTAATTAATCTCATTGAGTTCCAACCTATGCGGATGCAATATATTGTTTTTTTTTTTTTTTTTTTTTTTAAATTATATTAAACTAAATATCAACTATTGATAATATCTTAATATTTAAAAAGATAACCTGAATTTTTAAATATTTACCATGGAAAATAAATAACTGCAATCATTAACAAGTATATCATCGAACCCGTTAAAATCGAATGATTGAGGGGATGATCCGGAATAATTTGAATTTAGATCAGCATTTTGATTGTTGCAACCAGGTGGATAATGATTATCATTATTAGGAATGTAATCATTTGGATAATGACCGTAAAATGTTTCCTCAGCCTTGATTTCGTTTGCGTATCCGTTGGGGATTGAACAATGTTCATTGTTGAGGTTATAGTTCCAGTTGTAAGAATCGCTGTAAATAGCAGCGGGATGACTGTTGCCAACAATACACCCATCAGGACCATTAAAATTATCATAATTCGGATTTTGAATCATGTCGTAGTTGATTCTGTTGTTGAGATTCCAACTACTCAGCTGATGGTGGTGGATGTCACTAGGTGAGTAGTTGCTGTAGTTGAGAGCATGCATTTGATTCTCTCCGTAAATAACTAAAGCAGAAGCAGGATCAGGAACAGAAGCGAATAAGCTGGTGTTTTGGTATGTTTTTTCTTTCTTGAATTCCACATGTCTCTTTCTGCATCCAATTCTGGTACTAGGCAAAGCAGTCTTAAGATCCTTCTCCTCGTTTTTATCGTCTTTGACTGATCCAGTTTTCTTATCTTTCATGCGACGATTTTGAAACCAGACTTTAACCTGTAAAAAGAATTATATATCAATTATTATTTTTAACTATGAACTCATTAATTGGCTGACCAAAAGTTAATACATAAACTGTTATAAGGATTTCATGAAAATTATTCGGATTAATTTTGAAAAAAAAAAAAGTTTTCTTATTAATTTTCTCGTGCGCAAAAAAAATATTAAAAATAAAAATATAGATTAATTAAAAAAAAAAAATGAAAAAAAAAATTTTTTTTTTTCAATTAAGTGGCCATCTATAAACTGTTCACAAAAATTAATTTAATTCAATAGATGAAATTTTGATCCAAGTAGGTTAGTTTAAAATTTATTGATTTAACTTAAGCAGAAAAAATTGTAACCCAAGTTAAATTTACTCAAACTAAGAATAATTTCTCCGTCCAAAAATTTTAAATAAAATTATATAAAAAACAATTATCAATTTTCTTACCTGTCTTTCATTTAAACCCAAATCTCTGGCGACTTCAATTCTTTTTGGACGACACAAGTACTTGCCCTGGGTGATGAACTCTTTCTCCAGATGAAGAAGTTGATCGTTAGTAAAAGCAGTTCTCTCTCTGCGCTTTGAATTGAATTCTGTAATAAATAAATGAAAATGATTAATTTCTGTACATTAAATTCAATAAATTTTGACTTAAAAATTCGAATTTCTTAGAGAAAAATACACAAAAAAAAACCCTATAATATACATGTAAAATTGATAACTAAAATGAAGTTATTTCAGTATAGAAATTAATTAAAAATTTATTATTCGATTACATACATCATTAAATCATTATTACACGGAGAGAATTTAATAGTAAATACAACTATCCGAGTATTGTAAAAACGGCTTCATAGTATGATTGATTGGAAGAACTATCCAAATTGTTAACTGAAACATCCAGATAGTTACATTTACTATCTGAATAATAATTATTACCATTTGGCTGGTAACTTGAAGATGGTAAACTTAATCATAATATATGTTAACCACTAAAATCATGTTGATTGTAAATTGTACAATCATGATGATAATTATTATACCATCGCAGCTAGTAATATGATTAGTCACTATGTGACTACCGTGATTTGTGAATTATAAATAAACCAAAATTTCGCTTTATTAAATAATGACTTTTGTTAAATTGCACTGTACTTTCTTGAATATTGATGTTTTTGAAAATATAAGAATATATGTTTTTGAAGATAGAAGCATATATTTTATATATTTATATATAATATATAAATATATAAAATATATGAAAAATTGATGTGGGTACTCAAATGAAAGGTCTCGATGCGTATAATGTCGGGGTGAGCTTATATCTTTAAAAATGTCAATAATTAATAAGATAGCAATGTCAGTTCTTAATTATTGATATTTTTTAATATATAAGCTCATCCTGATGTCACATTCATCAAGAGCTTTCATTTGAGTACCCACATGCATTTTTGATGTATACATATATATATAATATATTTAAACGAACACACTAGACCAACACAAACGCGGATAATCGTGTTGCCCCCTTTTAACATGGTTTTTTGTGTGTATTTATTTGAAATTTGACTATCGCAAACGCGGATAATCGTGTTGCGCCCTTTTATCATGATTTTTTGTGTATATTTAAGTATAAATTTATAAAGGAAATCATTACTAATATTACAAATAATAAACAAATAAGCAAAAAGCGAATAATTCATCTTGGGCCCAATAATCAATAGTCTGATTTGTCGCTGGGATGAATTGTCAGAGTATGAATTGTCGAAGGGATGAGTTGTCGGGGATGAATTATCAGGGATGAATTGTCTGAGGCCCAAAAAGCGTCACACCATAGTTAACAAGATAAAAGGTCATTTCTTAATTATGTGTCTAGAAATGGAGCATTTTTGAATGCAGCCTAAATACTTATCATGATAAATTTAATAACGATGAGAATGATATGAAACCTTGCAAAGGCGCAAATTCAAGTCAAGACCTTTGCAATGACAATAAATTTCACAAAAAAAAACCGATTTTATCATATGACTATCCTGGAGACAAAATTTTTGTTATTCTCTTGATAATATAAATATACTTTTTTCAATACTCACTCTTATGTCAAACATTCGAATGTTATTAGTTTCCGACTCTAAAATCGAAAAAATTTAGTTTTTTACACTTCTTGTGTAGTTTTTATATAATTATGGGAATTAATATATATTGATTGTACTAATTACAATTGCCGGGTAGTTCCATTTATCATCTTAACTTTGCAAAAGTTAATAATTATGCTGAATAGTGGAAGCTACACAGAAAAAAAAATTAACTTGATTCAAGAGAAAAATTCTTGAACCAAGAATATAATTTTGAAGAGAGTAATTGTCTTGAATCAAGACGAAAAATTCTTGAATTAAGTAAAATTTCCTTAAATCAAGAAAAATTTTCTGAAATCAAGAATTTTTCTACTCAAACCAAGAATATTGAGCTCTTCAAAAATATATACTTGATTCAAGAACATTTTTTTTTTCTGTGTACAAAATAAGGATGGTTACCATTAACATAAAATTCTCTCCGTGTGGTAATCTGTAGCCTGCACCGAAATAATCGGTAGACTCTACCGAAAAAATCGGTATCTGCTACCGATTTTTTTCGGTAGCATCTACCGATTATTTTTTTCCGTGTATCTTTAAAAATGTCATTAGTGATCGAAAAAGTTTAGTTTTTTATACTTCCTTTTTTTTTTTTATGATTGCAATCATGATAATTTTAACTATCTCCGATGATAAAAGTTACCATCTAGATGATAAATCGTATCATAATAATTGTGGGAATTAATATATACTGATTGTACTAATTACAATCACCGGATAGTTGCATTTATCATCTTAACTTTGTAAAAGTTAATAACCATCCTGGATAGTAGAAACTACAAAATAGGGATGGTTACACCGTTAATATAAAATTCTCTCCGTGTAATTAACGACTGATTAAAAAAATTAAATTCTTTAATTCTAAGGAATAATTTTTTTGTTGTGACTAATTAACACTGCTAATAAATCAAATTGTTCTCATCAATAAATGAAGAATAAACTAATTTAAAAAAAAAAAATGAACTAAACTTTTTAAATATAGGAATCAAAAATGCGCTGACAAATAATTACTGAATGATTTAAATGTTATTTTTCTCAGTTATATATTTTATCAAAATTTTTTAAAGTGAATTATAAATATTCATACATAGATAGCAATCGCAAGAGTGAAAATAAAAAAAAAAAGTCTTACCTTTTTTTACACTTGACCGTCGCTTACAAGTGGATGATTCTCTATCAAGAACTTTGCAAGTGGCATCAGATTCGTTTAAAGTACTCGCACTACTTTGATCGATCATTTTTTGATGGTTAAAACTTTCTCCATGATTAAAAGTTAAGTAATTACAATTGGCGTTTTCCGACACTAAAAACTCCATTATTGGGTTCACACCTAACTCCGCGGATGGAATAACCTGATTAATTTCAGACCCACAATTATTAAAAACTTCTTGATTTAGTCCCGAATTACAGAAGAAGGTAGCCATTCTTATTAAAATTTTCTAGTTTAGTGTTTTAACTTGAAATCAAATCAATGAATTATAATAGAATTGTTATAGAAGCTCACTACGAAGTTAAAAGCACAAATTATCACGAAGTAGATACTTTGAAAGATTCAAAGGAACTGATGCATGGAGGGTCGACAATTAGGTACCTTTGCTTGTAGAGGGCCACAAGTACCTCGTTTTTGAAACGAAAAATCTCATTGGCTATCAAAAAATAGTGACTTCACTATACACTTATGCGTTCTAAAGAGTGGGGAGTCTTTTACCCTACATACTGTGAACATACAACTATAGTTAGGCTCTTTGCGCTTAAAACGTTCCTATATAGGAATAATACTGTAAATAAAAATTTGGCTATATTTTTATATTAATTATATTTTTTTCCTTTTTTTAATGCTCAGTACTAACATTAGACAGAGACGATCGTAATTACATTGTCTAGACAGCAGATTTGAAAAATTTTTATTTCAATTAAAAACATACACTGTAAAAAATTTGCGGAGTGAACGCGGAGTAAATGAAGAGTGAATGATTTTTAATTGATTCTCTCCCAGCGAGAGTGATATTTACTCCAAGAAGAAGTTAATTTTTATTACTAATAAAATGCACTCCGCATTCACTCCCAAAACAAATGAATTTAGAAAGAAATAAATTTTTAAAGAAAATATTTTTATAAACCCTTTTTATATTTAATTATTAAAAATTAAATTTATTATTTTTAATAATATTTCATTTTAATTATTATTATAATGTTTTTATTCATTTTTTTTATAAACTAATTATAATTAAAAATTGTCAAATGTCTCACCAATAAAATTTGAAATTTTTTTTTATATTCAATATCTCAAATAGTCAATTTTTTTGGCCCAGTCTAATATATAAAAATAGCCAAAAAAATTGACTATTTTTTTTTCTTAGGTATATCGAAAATATTATTCAGAATGACAAAAAAACAATTTCGTGAAAGTTAGGGCCCTTAAAATTAATTTTAAGAGGTCTATCATCGCTATTTTTAATTTTAATTCATAGTTCGATGTTTACGTCAGAACTGCGAAAAAATTGGAGCAAAAAAATTTATTTTCACATGTTCTTATGTAAAATTAAATTTCCTACAAAAAAGGTCTCATTGAAAATTTTCGTCAGACGAGCCGTTTCCGATTAATTAAGCTTAATAAATTGATGTGTTTTTTCAGTTTAACATTTTTACTTTGGAATTTTGTTACTAACGAATCAATAAATATTCAAAAGAGATCATGACAAATTTGTGAAGGAAATTTAATGCTCTACAAAAAAGATCTCTTAATATTTTAGCCTAAATTCACTTCGTCAAAAGTTATTGACGATTATAATAGAAGAAAATATTAAAATCTCGAGTTTTTTATTCTTAACTCAATTTTTCCACTTAACAGAACAAATTAACTATTTCAATCCTCATTAAGCATTATTTATAAAAAATCTCTCAATATTTATCGTTATTCTAACAATATTATTACAAAAATATATAAATTTCATAATAATTAGAAATTTATTTCTGCTTACTTGATTATTTCTAAACGATAACATAATTTTACTGTCTCGACGTAATTTTTGAGCGAACAAATATTGAGTTTTACTGTTAAAAATTATTGATTTTTAATATTGTTTACATTTATATGGAAGAAAACTCAAATTATGGCTACTTAATTCAATAATCACAATAATAGATGTTATGAAATTCATTTTAAACAATTATAATTTATGGGACATTCCATGCAAAATCGACCACTAATGACCGTGACCATTTTCGATTTTTGTGAAATTTCGATGAAATTCTTCTTTGATTCATTTTAGAGCAACGCATGAACTTTCAAAAATTCTGAGGCAGTTAATTTAAAACAAAATTTGTTTGAATTTATTTTTATTTACACAGTAGCTAAAAATATTTTTTAATGGATGATTTATAAATAGTAGACTTAAATTGAATGTGACATTATATTTTACACGTTTAAATAATTTATATATTCCTAAATTCTGGAGAATTTGAGTATTCTTTCACAAATTTATGCATTGCTCCAAAATAGATCGAACAACAATTTCATTTTTTTGTTTTTGCATATAGTTTTGGAAAAAAACACGAAAAAATAATTCAATGCTTCTTTCAATTTTTGATCTAACTTTATTCAAAAACAATCAAATCTTACCGATGATTAGCACTTAAAACTTTTATTTTTATTTTTTTTCTCGAATTTTAAAGTTTTCTAAATATTCTGGAAAATTTCAAGACTGGTACAACGAAAAACAAACATTAAAAAAAAATTTTTTTTTTTTATTTCTAAAAAAAATAGAAAGAAAAAAAATGCCACTCTGAAAATTTCAGGAAACTCGCAGAAAATACTAAAGTTTATTATAGAAAACAAAAAAATGTCAATCATTCTGAAATTTTCGTTTTTTTCCAAAATAAAAAATCCGAATCATTATTTTAATTTTTTTTTCTGAAAAGTACATTTGAAAACAAAAATTAAAAAAAAAAAGATCCGATTAAATTAATTTTCAAATGAGTTATGGTTACTTAACGGAAAAAATAGTTGTCTTTTTTAAATAACTGTGTAAATAAAAATAAATTCAAACAAATTTTGTTTCAAATTAATTGCCTTAAAATTCCATATAATTATTATTCCATATAAATGTAGACAATATTAAAAATAAATAATTTTTAACAGTAAAACTCAATATTTTTTCGCTCAAAAATTACGTCGAGACAGTAAAATTATGTTATCGTTTAGAAATAATCAAGTAAGCAGAAATAAATTTCTAATTATTATGAAATTTATATATTTTTGTAATAATATTGTTAGAATAACGATAAATATTGAGAGATTTTTTATAAATAATGCTTAATGAGGATTGAAATAGTTAATTTGTTCTGTTAAGTGGAAAAATTGAGTTAAGAATAAAAAACTCGAGATTTTAATATTTTCTTCTATTATAATCGTCAATAACTTTTGACGAAGTGAATTTAGGCTAAAATATTAAGAGATCTTTTTTGTAGAGCATTAAATTTCCTTCACAAATTTGTCATGATCTCTTTTGAATATTTATTGATTCGTTAGTAACAAAATTCCAAAGTAAAAATGTTAAACTGAAAAAACACATCAATTTATTAAGCTTAATTAATCGGAAACGGCTCGTCTGACGAAAATTTTCAATGAGACCTTTTTTGTAGTAAATTTAATTTTACATAAGAACATGTGAAAATAAATTTTTTTGCTCCAATTTTTTCGCATTTCTGACGTAAACATCGAACTATGAATTAAAATTAAAAATAGCGATGATAGACCTCTTAACATTAATTTTAAGGGCCCTAACTTTCACGAAATTGTTTTTTTGTCATTCTAAATATTATTTTCGATATACCTAAGAAAAAAAAAAATAGTCAATTTTTTTGGCCCAGTCTAATATATATACGAAAAATGAAAGAAAATATATTTTTTTCAAAAACTGTACTTTGACGACTCCTACTGGTAAAACAGTGCGAGTTACACAAAAAAACTCTAAGGCTATTTTGAAGAGTGTGAAATTCTTCATAAGGTCCATCAAATTGATTTGCAATATTGTAAAAGCCGGGTAATCGTCAGAAATTAAAAAAAAAAAGGAACGATTTTCTTTCATGCATTTTGAATGGTAAAACTTTAAATTTAAATTGTAAGTACTTAAAATTAATATTAAGAGCTCAAACTTGGTGAGAATTTTTTTTTCTATACGTAGATTAATATTTTGCATGAGCAGCGGTAAAAAAAAATTTTGCGAAAATGAACCACCCTATAGGGTGGATGTATGTAAACCTCTCATAACTTTTGAACGGCTTGATCGATTTGATCACGGTTGGTGCCATGCGAAAGGGTTTGACTGAACTTAGGTTTTGAAAACAAGTTGGTCCGATTCGGACCTATAGATTTTGAGAAATCTAAAAAAAACTGTGAAAAAATTTTTTTTCAAATGTAGTTATTTTAAAAAAACTTTCAAACTGCATGACCGATCAATTCCAAAAACTAATCAGCTTTTAACATTGAAAAACCACGTAGATCGCCACCAAGTCGGTCAAAATCGGTTGACTCGTTTGTGAGTTATCGTTGACGAAAGAAATCGAACAAAAGTGGTTTTTCGAATTACACCGAAATTTCCGGTTTAATCAATTTGTGTTTGAAACTATATCATAGAATTTGAAAAACTGCATCGAATGCCGCCGACCGCGTTAAAATCGGTTCATTCATTCAAAAGTTATTGCGGTTTAAAAATTCAAAAAATAGTGTTTTATTAAACTTCTATCAGACTTTTGAGCTCGGAGAGCTTAAAACTACACGAAAATTATATTTTTAACCTTGAAGAGCTCAAAAACGTAATAAATGCAATTTTGAGCGCTTAATTACAAAAGTAGCGGGAAAAGTTGCAGGAGTGGCCTTTAGAGTCAACCGTTTTCCTGATTTTTTTTATTTATAAATCACAAAACTGCTTTAAAATTGACTATTTTGACTAAATTATGACTTTTTTGGCTGAAATCAACCCTCACTAAGACAAAAAAACAAATTATAGTTAATTAACTAAGACAAACAAGCAAATTATAATTTACAGGATTTTAAAACAAATTCCAAGTTAAGAATACCTATCATATCAGGTTTGACTGATAATTTATCTATCAGTTATCATTTTTTTTTTTTTTCCAACACTTGACATTTTGTTTTGTTGACTAATATATGAACTTTCTTTAAAGACTGATAAAGGTTTATTTATCACCTTCAATGAAATATTTCTTACATACTATTTTATGTGTAACAAATGTTAAATATTACTATTTTTCAAATAATCCTTTTATTTGATTAATTTTTATTTTATTGTTACACAGAAAAAAAAATTTCTTGACTGGAGAACGAAATTTCTGGCTCAAGAAAATTTTCGGGTGCCTGAAGGAAGACCGAAGTTGTGTTAGCCGAAGTAAAAATTTTTCTTGAAAT